AAATGATGTTTGAGACCTAGGGCTAGCTGGGAGATTAAGTGTACCTGCTCACACAGATATTAAATTGAGTCTGCTTCTGTGACCTGGAAAGGACTTCACAGGGGGGGGGGGCAGGAATCGGTAAGCACCCACACCTGATAAGTACCTGCTCTGTGCACATGGCCTTTTTCCACAGGCAGAGGAACCTCATCTCCTTCCCAGTCAACTGTCCTTATTCTTGGCAACCACGAGAAAAAGCATGAAGTGGGCGAGTGGGTGAGTGGTGAGTGGGTCCAGGGCACCTAAGGACTGTTGCAGAGACCGGAGCTCAGGCAAGAAGGGAAATCCAGCTCAGCCCGTACCAGATACACTTTAAACATCACTCAGAGCGGCCCAGGCTCCGCAGATGAGGACAGGCATGGACAGAGAGGATGCTGACCCTCCGCTTTGCTCTGAGGCTGCCCAGGGGTGGCAAGGTACCAAACTCAGCCCTCCTGCCAAACATCAGGTCCAAACATCACAAGCCCAGCTCCAGCCAGACTTCTCTGAGCCACCAAGTGTCCCTCTTCATTGAAGCCAGCCCTTCTCATCTGTCAGCCACCAGATGAATCAAGACATGGATGGACCTGGGGACTCATAGACACTGTTTTACTTAGGGCTATCACTGCCGTGATGAAATACCATGACCAAGGCAACTTGGGGAGGAAAGGGGTTGTTTGGCTTATACTTCTATATCACAGTTCATTGTCAAAGGCAGTCAGGGCAAGAACTCAATCAGGGCAAGAACCTAGAGGTAGGAGCTGATGCAGAGGTCATGGCTTGCTTCCCCTGGCTTGCTCAGCCTGGTTTTTTTTTGTTTGTTTGTTTGTTTTTTTCGAGACAGGGTTTCTCTGTGTAGCTTTGTGCCTTTCCTGGAACTCACTCTGTAGCCCAGGCTGGCCTCGAACTCACAGAGACCCACCTGGCTCTGCCTCCTGAGTGCTGGGATTAAAGGTGTGCTCCACTGCTGCCCGACCCCAGCCTGCTTTCTAATAGAACCCAGGATGGCACCGCTCACAAAGGGCTGGGCCCTCCCACTAATTAAGAAAGTGCCCAGCAGGCTTGCCAGATCTTATGGGGGTACTTTTTCAGTCAAGGCTCCCTCCTCTCCGATGACTCTGACTTGGCTCAAGTTGACATAAACACCAGCTGACACAAACGCCCACCCGCCTGAGCAGCATGGAGAGACCCTGAGGTGAGCTGGGCAAAGAGAGATAGATGGGGGCCAGGCGGGGTGGACACTGACGGCAGACCTAACCGTTGAGTGGAGGTGAGGCCGACAGAGGCAACCAGGAAAGGCCAGCTGGGCCTCAATCGCCGCAGACTCTCAGCTATGGCCGGCCTCCCTTTCCGCTGTAGTTTTAGATTTTCACTTTTTTTTTTTTTAATCACAGGAAAAGTTCGCAGAGAAGTGTTCAATGGCCGGAGAAGGCCCAGGTCGGTGGAACTGGTTCTGCTCGGCTCAGGAGGCACTACTGCAGGGCTGTCGCCCTCTGCCTGCTGCTCTGGTGCCGGGCACACACCCTGGGCCCTCAGTATTTGCTGACAGAGCGACCTCAAGGGTTCACGGTGAACAGTCCTGGGTTGGTGTGCGGGATGCCAGGGAGGGGGGTGGAGGCTCAAACTCCAGAACCAGGTCTCCTGTCCCACCACCTCCTGATCTATACTGGGGGATCTGGGATCTGTCTGTCTCCGGGGAGGGACAGTAGTGGTTGTCTCCTCCTCCTCCTCCTCCTTGTCCTCCTCCTCCTCCTTTTCCTCCTCCTTCTCTTCCTCCTCCTCCTTCTCTTCCTCCTCCTCCTCCTTCCTTCTCCCTCCTCCTTGTCCTCCTCCTCCTTGTCCTCTTCCTCCTCCTTCTCCTTCCTCCTCCTTCTCTTCCTCCTCCTTCTCCCTCCTCTTCCTCCTCCTCTTCGTCCTTCCCTTCTTCAAACAAATTTCCATTTTTGCAGCCCAGGCTGTCCTTGAACAGGACAGGAGGTCCTCTTTGCCTCCCCTCCGGAGTGTTAGGATTACAGGTGTGCACCATCACACTTAACTATTGCTTGTTTTTTTTTTTATTATTTTAATGTAGCTTCCGTAAGTGAGCAGAGAAGCACAGAGTTCACTCTCCAGACTCCGAATCATCGTAGCCGCTAGCAACTCAGGACCTGTACGCCCTAGAAGTAAGGGGGGCCCACCTTGTTCCTACTCCTTCCTCAGCACTATCCATGCTCCCTTGTTACCTTTCCACCCAACATTTCCCTTCCGCGTCCTTGTGTCCTTAGACCCTTTGCTCCTTATGTGACAGACAGGGAGAGCCTGGCTTTTGGGGTCAGAGGTCCACGGAATCCCTCAGAGTCTGTGGCCCACACGGGAGGCCAGAGGAGAAGAACCATCCGTCTAGACCACCACATGTCCACGACAGTGGAGACCCCACAACAGGAGCCTGTCCAACACAGGGCCTCCCCGACAGAGTTCCCTGGGCACAAGGTAGTCAGAGGTAGACCTGCAGGCACCCCAATTCTAAGGCAGCCATCTCCCCTTCCTGTGGGAGTCATATTTGCTTTTCTCTGGGCCACTCGTTCTAGCCCTGGGGCAGAAGTGTCCGCTCCCCCACAGGTGGCAGCCGGATGGCATGGGCGAGCATCCACGACCTACCTCCTCACCCTCCTCGATGTGATAATCCTTCCTGGTATTGGGGCCTCCGACGAACATGACTTTGAGTTGCTCCTGGTGCCTGCAGGGAAGAGGCAAGAACAGGACCCAAATCAACTCCTGGGAGTGAGTGGAGGAAAGCAGGGACGGGTGGAGGCAGGAGGAGGGCGCGCATCTGGGAGAAGAACAGATCCCCCTCGTGGTCAGGTTGTTCCTCATGCATTTAAGTGTCTCCGAGTGTGGTTGTGTGTCTCTGTGCCTTCCACCCACAAAGAAGCGGCATGGAAGAGCATCACTCTTCATGGCCCCGGGCCACACTCAAGATCTCAAGGACAGGAGAACTGAGGGGGCCCTCACCTGTCTGCTCGTGAGACGATCCGCCACTGCGGACCATACACAGGGGACTCAGGAGACTGTGACATCTCCAGGGGAAAGAGACGTGTGTGTGTGTGTATGTGTGTGTGTGTGTGTGTGTGTGTGTGTGTGTGTATGTGTGTGTGATGTGTTCACACACAGGAGCCAGCCTCCTAAGATCAGTTTGGCTTTATTGCAATCTTGGGCATGTTAGTTGATGTTAATTGGGGTTTAGCTCCCTCATCTGGAGAGGCAGCTTTAATTCATTTCATAGGTTTTTTATTGTTATTATAATATTTATGTTCTGAATAGTTTCATGTTATATGGGAAGAGAAAACCTCATTTGGGGAATTCCCCCACCAGACTGGCCTATGAGCCAGACGTTTGATTGATGGTTGATGGGGGAGGGCCCAGCTTACTGTGGGGCAGTGCCATCCTAGGGCTGGTGATCCTGGGTTCTATAAGAAAGCAGGCTGAGGGCTGGAGAGATGGCTCAGAGGTTAAGAGCACTTGCTGCTCTTCCAGAGGTCCTGAGTTCAATTCCCAGCACCCACAAGGTGGCTCACAACCATCTATAATGAGATCTGGTGCCCTCTTCTGGTGTGCTGGTGTACATGCAGGCAGAATACTGTAAACATAATAAATAAGTAAATCTTTAAAAGAAAAGAAAAAAGCCGGGCGGTGGTGGCGCATGCCTTTAATCCCAGCACTCGGGAGGCAGAGGCAGGCGGATCTCTGTGAGTTCGAGGCCAGCCTGGGCTACC